TAAAAGAGAAGGAAGTCATGGCCAAGTAGTTGTAAGGAAATATCTTTGTACGGGTGGGATTGAACTTCCACCTTTTTGAGGGCAAGGAATCTAGTTGAAAGCCTTTCCCAGGTTTACTCTGCTGGAACCTAGTTACTCCTAGGGGAATTCTGTGCCAAAAAAGTAAAAATTCTGCGCACTGTATTTTAAAATTCTGCAAAATTCTGCATATTTTATTTGTCAAAATAACACAATATAATCACACCAGTTTAAATTATTTTTGGTCATTTATTTCAAAATACCTGTCAGCAATTATGTCTGTAACAATACAGACAACAAAAAGGATTCTGGAAATGTTTTTTGACAAATAGATTCCTTACTAGGCATATTAATACAGAACACTGAGAAATAATTCATTTAAACTACAATACAGAACCATATTTTCTGCCCCCCTCAAAAGCAGTGCAAAGGCTTGGGGGAGTCAGGAGTAACAGAGGAACTGAGGGAGAGGGAAGTAAATTGCTGGAAAGGAGCCTGGGTGTGAACTTGGAGGGTTGTTGGGAATGGGTGGGAAAAGTATGGAACAGGTTTTTTGGGGGGAAGGGGAGGGATTGTTAGGGAACTTCCCCCATGCAGACCCTGGCTGACCCCTCGTCTCTCCCATTCAGTCAGGCACATCTGCCCCTCTTCCCATGTGTTCCTGCACCCCCTATCCATGTGTCCCTCCACCCCCACTCAGCCACCCACTCCTCCCATCCCCATGTGTCTCTGTGCCCCCACTCAGCCACCCTCTGTCCCTATGTAGTTCTGCATCCCCCTCCCCCATCACCATGTGGCCCTGCACCTCCCTCCCACCTGTGGCCCTGTGCCTCCACTCCCATTCAGCCTCTGCCCCAATCTGTCCTCCCCCACTAGCCCTTTACGAGCCCCTGTCTGACCCCAGCACCATATGCTGTCTGTCTCCCCATAGCCCCTGTCTCTTGACCTGGCCTGACAGGCACTGCGAAGATGGCAGGCTCTTTCTCTTCCCTAGCTGGCCAGGAGCTGCTACTTTGTTCTATTGCCACAGCACCCTCTGGTGGGCAAATGACAGAACTGCAGAAGTTATTTTTTTCTGGGAGCTGCTGTTCTTGAGCCACAGCGGCCTCTGGTGGGCAAAAGGTGGAACTGCAGCAACATTTTAGCAGAAGCTTTTTTCTCTACAAACAATTAAAAATATGTATGGCTTATTAATTATGCACACGCTCAGTAAGGCAGAATTCCCCCAGGAGTACCTAGTATAGGAAATAGCTATATTAAATAAATATACTATATAGGAAATGTCTCCTCCTTGATATTTTGCTTCTATACTATAGGTGGTTTCAAATTTTATCATAGTTTCAACTATGTTCTAACACAGAGATTCTTAAAAACCTGTTATTCTCTCCTTTGTGTTCAACAGAACCCATACCCTCCCAAGTATCAGGAGGTAGCCGTGTTAGTCTGTATCTACAAAAACAACAAGGAGTCTGGTGGCACCTTAAAGACTAACCGATTTATTTGGGCATAAGCTTTCGTGGGTAAAAACCTCACTTCTTCAGATGCATCCCTACCCAGTCCATCACAATGTCCCTGTGGGTAACTATAGCAATTTCTTACAAGAAAAGGTAATATTAGGAAAGTATTTGATATATATTTTACTTGGCATTTATCGCAATTTAACATGTGGAAATACAGAGGAAAAGTCAGTACAATAAGACCAGCTAGTGCTTTGTGGACCAACAGGCATCTGCTGGTCAGTTTAAAAATGTTTGCTGTAAACAAAACTGAAATGCAATTTTAATATCAGCTACTTGCTGCTCTTAGTTTATAAGCACTGCACCACATGTTGGTAAAGTGCCTTGAGATCCTTGTATAATACATCTAAGTATTGTCTTATGAAGACCAAAATATCCAGCTCTGCTTTCTTAGATGTGGTGATGCACCACATGCTTAAAAGGGCTCTGTTGTGCTATCGTTAATGTATTATAGGATATGTTTTGTGTTGCTGTAGGCTAATAGGATTCTTGTGGCAGACAGGCAGCAGAGGGAAAATGGTTTCGGAAATTTCTCTGATTTGTCTGGGTGCCATGTTGGCTGTGTCTTGCTATCATGGGTATTGCCCTGATAGCTTAAGGGAATTATTATTCTGCTTCTCTATTGTCTTGATCTTTTCACTTTTTTTTCCAATGACAAAGGAAAACAAACAGTAAATCACTCATGAAACTTTGCATACAAATAAAGGTCGGTATGAACAAGGGAACATGATTTGTTAATTTTGCAATAGTCAAATTTAAACTAAGTCTGTATTTATTGCAAGTGGGAGACCTATTGGGAAGACTTATTGTAATTAATGTAATACTTGTAGCTTCTCCCTGAAAACAATCCTTTTCTCTGTGAGATGAGAATACTTGTGCTTTCCGTGTCAATAATGTGAGAAATTTGTGAAAAGTGTGTAAGGATTTTCACTGTACAGTATCACTTCAGTTGTGCTACTCCCTGATTTCTTTCATCCATTCTCTGCTTTCTTCCCTTTTTTAACTTCCTTGTTTAGTGCTGCTTTATCTGGCAGGGTTTTGCTCAGCACCCATCACACTGTGCATTGCCTAGCTAAATTAGATTTGCCTGGGGAAGGCTCCATGAAGTCTTTTGCTCTCCACCTAGTTCCGGTCGTAGAAAGCCCTGGGATAGCTTAGCTGCTCCAAGAAAAGGGGCTTGTATTACAGAACTGCCCCGGGCCGAAATGCAGAATCAGGGCGCCACAGTAGGGTTGCGAATTTAGGTTGGATGTATTCTTGGAAATTTCATCACATGACATAACCTTTAATTAAAGAGTAATTTTTAATTTCTGGAGACTCCAGGACAATCCTGGACGGTTGGCAATGCTTTCTTGGACTAGGGGTTATGGTTTCCAAGGGTAGGGCACTTAGAGCTAGGGTTAGGTTCCTATCGATAGGGCATTTGGACCTAGGATTAGGGTTTCTATGGGTAAGGCTTCACACCCTAGGGTTAGGATGACCATGAGTAAGGCTCCCACCCCTAAGGCTAGGGTTCCTATGGGTTGGGCACTTTCAGCTAGGTTGATGGTTCATATAGGTAGGGCACCCTGCCCTAGGGTTAGGAATCCTATGAATAGGAAACATGGAGCTAGGCTTAGGATTCTTTTGCATAGGGCACTGGAGCTAGGATTAGGGTTCCTATGGGTAGGGCTCCACACCCCAGGATTAGGGTTCATCTAAGTAGGGCACGGGGAGCTAGGGTTAGGGTTGCTATGGGTAGGGAACTTTGAACTAGGGTTAGGATTCCCATGGGTAGGGCTTCCCGCCCTAGGGTCAGAGTTACTATGGGTAAGGTGCTTGGTGCTAGGGATAGGGTTCCTACGTTTAGCGCAGTTGGAGCTAGGGTTAGGGTTCCTATGGGTAGGGCACTTGAAGCTAGAGTTAGGATTCCTGTGGGTAGGGTACTTGGAGCTAGGGTTAGGGTTCCTATCGGTAGGACTCTTGGAGCTAGGGTTAGAGTTCCTATGGGTACAGTTCTTTGAGACAAGGTTAGGGTTCCTATGGAAAGGTCACTTTGAGCTAGGGTCAGGGTTCCTATGGGGAGGGCTCACTGCACTAAGGTAAGGATTCCTATGGCAAAGGCACTTGGAGCTAGGGTTAGGGTTCCTATGGTAGGGCTCCCCAACATAGGGTTAGAGTTCCTAGGGGTAGGGCTCCCTGCCCTAGGTTTCGGGTTCCTATGGGGAGGGCACATGGAGCTAGGGTTAGGGTTCCTGAGAGTAGAGTTCCCTGCCCTAGGGCTAGAATTTCAGTGGGTAGGGCTCCCCATCCTAGGGTTAGGGTTCCTATGGGTAGGGATCCCTAAGATTCCCATGGGAAGGGAGCAATGAGCTAGGGTTAGGGTTCCTATGGGAAGGGTTCATTGAACTAGGGTTAGGGTTCATATGGGTAGGGTTCCCTGCCTTAGCAGTGGGGTTGATAGCGGTAGGTCTTCTTGCCCTACTGTTAGCTTTCCTATGAGTAGCAGACTTAGCATTAGGTTTATGGTTCCTATGGGTAGGCTCCCCACCCTATGGTTAGGGATCTTATGGGTAGCATATTTGGAACTAGGGTTAGGGTTTCTATTGGTAGCTAGCATTTGGATTCCTCTGGGTAATGCACTTGGACCTAGGGTTAGGATATCTATCGGGGTACTTGGAGAGAAGATTATGGTTTAGAAGTGTAGGGTAGTTGGAACTGATTTAGGGTCTGTATGGGTAGGGCTCCCCACCTTAGAGTTACGATGGTTTGGGCACTTGGTGCATTCCTCCCGCCCCCCGGGCCATAGGAACCTTAAGCCTAGGGCAGGACGCGTTCCTATTAGAAGCCTGATTGCAGCTCCCAGGTCTACAGTCAGTGGCATTTGCTACGGGGACAGAGTCAGGCTGGTCTCCGAGTGGCTGCGGTTAATGGCGGGGCCAGGCCCTTGGCAGGATGGCGCTGGCACAGGCACTCGCCCCCGAGTAATCTCAGAAGGTGAGTTCCTGGGCGCGGGGGGAGATGGATCTGCCGAACCTTCCTTTCTCCGCCTCCTGTGCGCCTGCGCGCCTCCTTCTCCCTCTCCACGCACAATCAGCGCGCGCTCCCGCCTTCTCGGATCGTCGACGCGAAGTGATTGGGGGCGTGACTGTTGCTGCGCACCGTCACTTCCGGAGTGTTCTGCCGTCAGGCCAATCCGCGCGCCCGTCTCTCTTCCCCCCCCCCCCCCCCCCGCGCTGGGCGGAGCTGCCGACGCGCTGTGTCTGGCGTCCCGAGGCCGTGGCGCCGGAGGGAGCCATGGAGGCGGCCGTAGGGGCGGCTGGCGCGCGGGGAGGTTGGCGAGAGGAGCCGGCGCCGCCGCTGCAGCAGACCCCGCTCTCCCGGCGCTCGGAGCAGTAACCACCGCCGTGTCCCGGAGACGCTGGCCCGGACCGAGCCCCCTGACTCGACCCCTGCCCACCGCCTCCAGCTTCCAGGACCCTACTGAGCCCCGCCGGCCTGGCCCGAGCCCCTTCCTCCCTAGTGCCCCCTGGAGCTGCCTGGGGCGGCAGCTGGAGGCGCTCCGGAGTCCCGGCGGCTGGCGCCGTTAGTATGCCCGCCTTCCCCGCTGCCCCCCGGGTGCGTGCCCCCCGCGGCGCGCGGAACGGGACGCGGCAGGCAGTTTGAGCGGCGTCGCCCGGGCTGGTGCTGGCCCGGCCCAGTGCGTACTGCGCCCCCTCGTCGCCCCGCGGAAAGAGGGGCGTCTCCGGCCATGTATTTCCTGAGCGGCTGGCCCAAGAGGCTGCGGTGCCCTCTGGAGACCCTGGAGCAGCCGCTGCACATCCAGACGGACCCCCAGAGGGCTTTCTTCGCAGTGCTGGCCCCGTCCCAGCTCAGCATCTGGTATAGCAGGGTAAGTATCGCCCTGCCCCCGCTCCCTGTGCCGCCTCACCTGGAGGGAGCATGTATTCCTCCCCTTCCTGCCCACACAGCGCTGTGGAGCTGCAGGACTAGCTCCAGTGCATGTACTTCTGTGTTTGCAAAGCAGTCTTGTAAGTCAGACCAGTTGCACAATGATTCGCTAGTTATTTGTAACGAGTCGCTGCCATGTAACTTTGAAACTAGGCCCCTTGGGTTAACAGCTGCAGTTACTGAAACGCGAAAAATCCCCCATTAAGCTTCTTGTTCTTCACTTGTCTTGGGTAAGAAATATTGGCAAGTCTTTACTTTCTTTGCTCAGCAGTATAATGCTGCTGTGTTGAGTTGTGGGTATCGCGTATGGATGTGCCCGATCAGTTGTGTGTACTGAAACTTTCAACAGTGCCTGGTTGCACTTTGTAATGGTTGTTGATAATTCCTCCACAAAAGTAGAAGGTTAGGCCAAACCTACTTCGAGTCTCTCAGATTTCCAATTCTGGGTTCAAAGAAGCTCAAGAGAGAGTCATGAAATGCATATAAAATGAAAATTAATTAGGTCCCTTCCTGCAGTGGACAGAATGCTGTTGTCAGCTTGCAGCCCCTTCCATGAGGGGGGGATTTTATGCAGACTTCAAAATGTTTGCTACTTAACACCTTACATTGAAACTGAAAACTAAAATCCCGCAGTTCTGTTGTTTACTTTCTGTACCTCACTCAGGTTGGGCAATGAAAATTGTATAATCGGTGTCGCATACGATTTTTCTAGGCTTAATTCACAGGGAAGTTAATGTGAAATAACTAGGTTATGAATTTAAATTGTAACAGCTATTCTGCACTAGTTCCCCTTGTGGACACTTATTCTGCATGGAGGGTTCCTCTTTTCAGTTTAGGTTAATCCACTTCCAAAGTAGATTAATCTAAACTGAAAAAGGCACTTTTAGAGCAGAATAGGAGTGTCCACATAAGGAAGCTAGCGTGGAATAGTTGTTCCAGGCTCTTCTCCATACAGACAAGCCCTTACTGTTAACTTCGCCATCTGGTTATCATTTCTCTGACACACAACTGCAGTATTGGGATTGGAAAGACTGCAGGGAAATGCTATTCTTTAAAAGCTGAATTTAAGAATTCAACTAAATATTGCCATTTAAATTTACAGCCTAAACTCTCTTTAGTGTGTCTTTAAATAATTCTATGTAGTCTTCATAAGTCAGTACTATAAATCCAAATTATAACAAACTTTTCAAAATGAGAAGAGGAAGCAATTATGCTAGACTGGCATTCCAAGGAGCCTTAGTTTTAAACAGTAGTAAAGTCCTTCATGTCTTCATCAAATGACACCAGTGAAACTTCATCAGGTCATGCTGGTACTGGGTGATCTGCATTGTCTGTTCATTAGCCTCTGGGTGGAGTGTAGGTGTTGGTTTTTAACCTATAAAGCCCTACATAGCTTTACTTGAGGCTGCCTCTCTACTACTGGGATACTGAGTCTAAAGTCTCACTTTCCTAGTCTAATGGGAAAAGGCTGCTTGTAGGGTGCTTTATTTGAAATATCCCTATCTTTAGAATGTTATTTTCTCTCTGGCCCATCAAAGCCCAGTTTTGTTAACATTATGGATGTGGTATAACTAATCACTTTATCCCATGCACATTTGGGAAGGAGGTGGGCTGAAGGTAGTGAAGCTATTGTAGGTAGTTTTGTTGGCAGGTATTACTATGAGCAGTCACAAATACACCTCTACTCCGATATAACGATGTCCCTGGGAGCCAAAAAATCTTACCGCGTTATAGGTGAAACCTTGTTATATTGAACTTGATTTGATCCGTCAGCGCGCGCAGCCCTGCCCCCCCCGGAGCGCTGCTTTACTACGTTATATCCGAATTCGTCTTATATCGGGTCGTGTTATATCGGTGTAGAGGTGTATATATTTTTAATTGGTAATTCTAAATTTGTTTTGAAATACTAACTAGTTATAATTGCATTAAAGAGAACTTGTGGATTTCACAAGATAATGAAAGCTGAGCAACTGAGGGAAAGATACTTTGACTGTTTAAAACTTACTTTTGTTTACACCTGTTTAATGCCAAAATAAAACATTTTGGAGAAAGAGTGACTTTGTTAGAGTTGTTCAATTGCTGCCTCTTAAGTTAAAGGGTAAAAGAACTCCCCTGAGATATTAACAAGGCTTTTAACAAAACCATGGTTAGGCAAGGCTTCTTACTAAAGTAAAACAAACAAAAAACATATTTTTGGAAAGAACCTCTCAGGTTTCCTGTTTCCTGCATAAAAAGAAAGTATATCCCCATTCTCTCTCTTTGTAGGTGGCATTTAAATCAAAATTACATATTGGGTTCTTGTGGAGGAAATGAAACCTTGGTTTCTATAAAAACGTTTTTCCTTGTCAATAGTAGCTTGTTCAAAACAGTGTCAAGTATCAGTAATATCTAACTTTCTGGAGCAGAATATCCTGCAATTACTTGTGGTAATCAGATAGGTGACTAATCTGGCTAAGTTCTGTGCTGCATTATGTTTATTTCCAGCACATTAACATTTTAAATTCCTAGTTCAGCTTTGTAAACATATTCAGTCATGTGTCACTTTCAAGTAAAGTGATACTGTTTGCTAGTGTGTGCTTATAAAACTGATTTTCAGGAAGACATACTTGCTGACAGATATTTTGAAATAAATTACCAAAATAATTGAAACTGGCCTGATCATATAGTGTTGTTTTGACAAATTTTGCAGAATTTTAAAATGTTGTGTGCAGAATTTTAAATTTTTTGGAGCAGAATCCCCCCCCAGGAATATTTTACTGCAGGGGTTCTCAAACTTCATTGCATCGTGACCCCCTTCTGAGAACAAAACTTACTACGTGACCCCAGGATGGGGGACCGAAGCCTGAGCCAGCCCAAGACCCTCTGCCCCGGTGGGGGTCCAAAGCTGAAACCCAAGCCCTGCCGCCCCAGGGGTGGGGATAAAAGCCGAATCCCAAAGGCAGTGGGGCTTTGGCTTCAGCCCTGGGCCCCGGCAAGTCTAACACCAGCCCTGGTGACCCCATTAATATGGGGTCACAACCTACTTTGGGGTCACAACCCACAGTTTGAGATCCGCTGGTTTACTGAAGTGCTACAGCGGCGCTGCTGCGCCACTACAGCGTTTTAAGTGTAGATCTGCCCTAAATATAGAAGGTAAGGAAACAAATGACAATAGACAATGAACTATCTTCTCCTCTTGTAAGTAATTTTTGTGCTGGAGTTCAGGCTGTGGGAGGGGAAAGTTTGTGCTATTGCTTCCTGTGCTATAGCTGTTTTGTGGACAAACATATAAGTTTGGTTTACAGTCCTGTTATTCCTGTAAAGTTTACAAACAGTAAATTATAAATATGAAACATGTTAATTCCACTTTTTATTTTACTAATTGCTGACTGAATGTACCCTTCAGAACTGTGAACAAAATGAGTTGATGAATTATCATATACGATCAATTTCTCTTTGTGTGAATATGTTAGGACTATATGGGATTGTCTACAACCTCTCTGTAGCATCTTGTTTGCCTTGCAATAAGTTGCAGACAGTGTTTGCTTTAATTAAAAGCTTTTTGTACTTCTAAAGGCTGGCGTGATATTCCTGGAGAACGAAGTTCTGTATATCACAGGTATTAGCAATGCACACTAGCCCACCCCGCACTGTGTACCCTCATTCTGGAGGAAGTAGTTCATCCTCCATGACTTTAGGCCTTTGCTAAGAAGTAATAATTATGAGCTTGTTTGCTGACACTTGTCAGCAGCTGGACTGTCTGAGACCATATCATTTTTGTAGGGTCCCAAATAGTCTTCAGAAGGTAGCAGCTAGCATTCCTGTAGATCTGGCCTGAAATTGAACCAGTGGTCTAGCAGTGATTATAATCTTTATTCTCCACTTGAGCCATAACCTTGGACCCTTCACTGGCTGTTTCTGTTAGCCTTCAGTTTTATGTACTTGGCTGATAATTTGTTTCAAATAGAGTGTAACAGCTATGCTACTGCTGCAGAACTGTTTATCTGGCTGTATAATTGAGGAAATATCCACCGATAAGTCTCCACTAGACTAATGTGGAGAAATTGTCACTGATGTCCAGAAGTCCTCAAACTAGGCTTTTCACTCTGATGTGCAAGTGGCAGAGACCTGAGCTTTGCACCTCCTGGAATATCTCTCCCAGAATTCTCTGCTCTGGAAGCTGGTATAACATCGTACATCAGGAGCCTGACTGTCCCATCAAATTACCCATGCTCCACTCACTCTAAAGCCAATACGAGTTGTATGCGCACAAGTGATGGGACAACTAGGACTCTGACCTCACTTAAGGTACGTCTACACTATCCGCCGGATCGGTGGGTAGCGATTGATCTATCGGGGATCAATTTATCACGTGTAGTGTAGACATGATAAATCGATTCCCCAATCGCTCTCCCGTCGACTGCTGAACTCCAGCTCGACGAGAGGCGGAAGCAAAGTTGACGGGGGAGCCGCGGCCATCGATCCTGCGCTGCGAGGACACGAAGTAAGTAATTCTAAGTCGATCTAAGATACATCGACTTCAGTTACGCTATTCTCGTAGCTGAAGTTGCGTATCTTAGATCGATAGTTCTCTCCTCCCCCCCCCACCCCTCTGTGTAGACCAGGGCTTATACAGAGCCTCTTTTACTGTCAGATTTAAGCGCCACTGATTAACCTTAGCTGCTGACAATCTGCTGGAGACATTGAGTAGCACCCTATTAATTAGCAGCATTTTTTTGGACAACAGATTGGCTAGCTACAGGAGCTTTCAGTTGGGGGAGAAACTTGTATAAAGCCCAGAATGTGCTAGGTACTTTTAAAATGAATCCTAAATCATGCTAAATCGCTGTATTTGAACCTCTCCATTGTAGTTTAAACTGAATGAATATGGTGTGCTTCAATTTTTGTTAAACATATGGAGTGTCGTTAACTGCCATATTCCACCCTAGTGGTGGATGAATC